TCTGCACAGTTTTACAGGCGACTTGTACTGATTAAAATCTAGTCATGACTCGTATCTGATGAGCCGGAAACAGACTTCTTTCTTAGCCATCAGTTTGTTCTGTCACTCGTTACATTCTCACTCTCTCTATTAATTTCTAAATGTATTTTAGGATGTAACAACCGACAAGTAATTTAGTGTTACTACCTGGGTCTGCAATTTTGCAAGCAACTTTGTACTGACTTGAATCGAAACAGCATTGTTTTTTTGTAATTCAAATTTCTTTTATAAGTTGTTATGTTGGTTGTTACATTTTTTGTGTTGGACTTTATTCATGTTTAAGTTTAGCTGTAACTATAGATAAATAATTTTGTTGTACTACTTTAAATGGCAATTTTACAAGCAGCTTTGTGCTGACTAGACTCTAGTCAAGATTAGTTATGATTTGATTGAGGAAACCGAAGAGATGGTTGTTATTGTTACTGTTATTGTTATTGTTATTGTTAATATTTGTCATTAGTATTGTCACTATCGCTCTTCCAGGGGTTAATTGGTTAAAGGTCCAGATTCACAGCAATAAGGAAGAAGGAACGAATCCCGGACCGCGTCAGACTTTCATGATGCCATTAGGAAAGAAAACACTACACTTAATATAATCAACACCATAGCCAGCAGAGCCTCCCCCCCCCTCTCTCTCTCTCTCTCTCTCTCTCTCTCTCTCTCTCTCTCTCTCTCTCTCTCTCTCTCCAATGACTGAATTGTCTTTAGCCCGTTCCCAAAAGGGGGATACTAACATACTAACATGTTCTTAAGCCTTATGCACAGTAGAATTGTAAATGGGCCGTTTATCAATGCTATGCTCATACTGTGCCGGAACAACATTGGGGGAACTGCTGCTTTTTCTTTCCTTTTCCTTATTATCGTCACTTCTTTTGTATGTTTGCCACTCTCTTGTGAACTGCTATTTTCGGGGTGCCTTTATAGTAGAAGCAAACTTTGTGCTGTTTAGGCTAGAGAGGTGAGCAGAGTAAGCCTGATTTCCCGTTTGGGCTTCCCTGTTGACATCCACCCCTTGGCGCCCATATGACCTTATGCAGTTGTAAGCGTCGTAAAACCTTACTAAAACATTCTCTCTCTCTCTCTCTCTCTCT